GCCCTATGTAACTTATCACAAAATATACTAGTTTGATAACGTACCGGAGATTAAGATGTCTTCACCTAATTGTTTTGTTTAGCCATTTGCTTTTGCAAACATGACATTTATCGAAATATCCCATCTTAATACGAAAGGACAAAAAAGGTGAAGATTATAGAAATATCAGATAAACGTGTCTTCACTCAATTTTTTTTTATTTCTCACGGATTTTATTATAACGGCTTAGTGGTTATATGGTTAGTTTATAATCTGCAGGTGAAAGAATTGATTTTGAGTTGATAGAGTACCAAATATTTCATTTTACTATTACTAATATTATAAATGTGAAATTTTAGATAGATGTATAGATGTTTGTAGCATAAACGGTTGAACGGATCTTGATGAAATTCGGCATAGATGTACAGGATAGCTTGGAAGAACACAAATGTTACTTTTTAATTCCATGTGGATGGAGTCACAAGCTAATACTAATACAAATGCGAAAGTTTGGATGTATGTATGGATATTTAACACGTATCTCCTCAACAACATAACTGATCTTAATAGAAATCGTTTACTTTTGTAATGTTAGGTTCACTAAAAATCTTTTAACTTTGTAATAAAACAGTTTAAAAAATAGAATTCACCTGATGATATAGTAGTCTCCTATTGGACCACAGATTTCTCGAAGGGTGTATAAAACTCTCCCTTATTGGTTGACTCTATGTGGGGGTTGTTTGCGGGTCAAGTTTCACATCCCTTGTTAATTCGGACCCTTGTGATTTAAGGCTTACGGAATGTTTATGGAGTGTTGAAATAAATTCGGATTATGGATATAAATTGCAATGTTTTGTTTATTAAAATAAATTTCCAGTTTAGATAACTTAAGATGTTAGTTTTCTGTTAGAAAATATTCTTATCTATCACAAGCAGAGTACTATATTTGTTAATGAGGAATCCTTTTTCACATTTAGTTACCGAAAGCTATACTAAGAGTTGCTTATGTAGGCACTAAATAAAACGCAGAGCCCAGGACAGAGCGAGCTGGCGGCGTACTGTGAGCGTCCTCTGCCCCACTTTGGGGACATAGAAAAAGAAGTGTGAGAGAGAGAAAATAGAACAGTAAGAACTATTTTTTCATTCTTTAAAGTTGTCTAATATTTGTAAATACAAATACGCTAGTTTAGATATAAAGAATTATCCCTTTTCCGCGTCCCCTCTGTCAATTAACGGTAGGCAATGTCTATTATGAGTTCCATTGATTTAACAATCTTAGCGAATTCTGGTTAGTCGATAAAAGAAAAATTTACGTAGCTATTCCTTACTGGGGCAGCGACCTAAAGTGAGACTCGGCCTCTAACACGAGATACCGTCAAGATCATCTACTTACGTATTCCTTAGTAACAATGACTCTTTAAATTCTTTCAATCAGCGATATATCTGATATAGCGGGAGTGATCTGTAGCAATCCAATGTCTCATATTACGGCGCCAATTTACCTCCGTGTGCGGTTCTAACCCGACAAAGAGGCCGGCAGATATTGGTTTACTATAAACAAAATGGTTTCAAAATGTACTGTTGGTAAATGTTAAAGTATCGCTTATGAAGCGTATTTGCATCCACGTGCATATTCTATGTATAATTCTAATTTAATCTTTATTCTTACTAATGTTATAAATTCGAAAGTTTAGATGGATGGATGTTTGTTAGTGTTTGTAGCCTAAAAGACTGAACGGATATCGATAAAATTTGGCATCTGGAATAACATATAGGCTACTTACATTTGTTTTTTTTTTCTAATTAGACGCGAATAGAGTCGCTGGCAAAAGCTAGTCTTACTAATATTATAAATGTGAATGATTAAACAGATAGATGTTTGAGAGAGTTTGTCGCCTAAACTGCTGAACAGAGTTCAATGAAAATTGGCATAGATGGCTCACTTTTGTTTTTATGTAATTCTACACGGACAAAGTCGCGAGCAACATCTATTGTTAAAAGTTTGACCCTATGACAATTGTCATTCCATTTTTCAGTGTCTCAGACCATCTACAGATGTTCAATATCAACAGTTCGACTGATCACTTAAAACCGTATATCAGGCTTTACACGTGTAAGGGCGCGCACACCTTTGACTAAACTATCCCGAAACTGTTTAGTCGCGCTTTGATTCCTATGATCTTATATGGAGGTGAGCACACTACTCGATTTTTAGTTGTGCAACTAAACAGTTGAACTGCGAAATAATCGACAATCGCACAACAATTATGCGATAGTTTAATCAAAGTGTTCGTCCGCTCTAAGAAAAATTTGCAATTTTTACTAAGGACGCCATGAAAGTCACTATGTTGATGTCCACCGGTGTCGTGTAACCAATGGATTTTACTTGGAAGTATCGCCGTGGGAACACAATACCTTTACATTTACCGCGAAACGATAAATCGCGCACGACCACCCATTCGCGTAACAAACAGAATTATTGTGCACAATTTGTGGGTTGAGATACACAACGGCTGATAGAGATGTATGGAAGAACAGCACATACTAAAATAGCGAACTGAGTATCGAGCATAGTCCCTACAAGTCAAAAGGTACCAGAAGTGGTAACTTACAAGCACGCACATAAAGAGAATTCTCCTATCGTATTCGTCTTCTCTCCTCCCAATTACATTTCATCATCTTTAACGTACAAGAAAATGGGGGAAAAGGGGGGAGAGAATATTATGTCTTACACACAGTCATCAGACATAGCATGGAATTACTTCCATTTGAAACTTGTGTGGTTGGTGGCTCTGGGGGAACCGACTCTACTATCATTAATGTTGTAATAATAGAGCTATATGGGGCAACAGCCCAGGGCACCCAGGGCGCCTGAAAAAAGGGGTGTCACCGGCGTGTAAAAGATCAACACAGGTGCCTTTTTTACTTAGAAAGTCCAGGACACCGGTAATGCTTAAACCGGCTGTTTCTACCACTGTAATATAATACTTCTAGTATGATTGCTACAAGTGTACAACAAAGACATATAAAAGATTAGTTGTTGCTCGTGACTTCGTCCGCGTAAAATTAAAAAATAACGGAAAATATAGCCTATGTCATTCACTGATAACATAGCTTTTTAATGGTGAAAGATTTTTGGAAATCGGTCCGATAGTTTGTGAGTTGTATCGATACATATAATACAAAAATACCAATCTTTCCTCTTTGTAATATTAGTAAAGATAGGAAGCATTTAAAGGTCCAATTGCATTTTAGATAATGCTACCGTGTGATTGCTGTTTTTATCATGTTACGAAAGATTGCTTACTACTTTGTGAATGATTTTTTTTAATTACATCGACAGGAAATGTGGAAACCGTGTGAATGGACGGACTCTGTGGCGTCTGCGGAGTTTGCAGTTTATTATCTAACCTTGTTACAACTTTATAATGTTCAACTAAATTTCGCCCGCGACTTCGACTGCGTGGAATTAAAAAAATCAAAAGTGAGTAGCCTATGTGTCCTTCCTCTACATCTATACCAAATTTTATAGAAATCCCTTCAGCCGTTTAGGCTACAAACTCTAACAAACATCCATCTAAACTTTCGCATTTATATAAGTAAAACGCAAAACAATAGCCAGCTGTCGGGCAAAATGTAACATCTTCATCTAACTAATATTAATTAATATTAACAGTGGTAGTGCCCGCTTTAACATCTTAGCACTGCAGCGCCGGCACGCCCGGTGTAATACCACGACCACAGAGAAGACAGGCGTGAAGTGGAAGCAATTCCGTGTTTCGTCTGATGAGTGTGGTGCCGGAGGCCTAATTTAAGTCCATTTCTCTACCACCCTTTTCTTATAAGGAGAGGTTGGGAAGAGGAAGTGGATTCGACGGTGGAGGAGATGCATAGTAAGGGGCAATATTCTCTTTATGTGCGTCTCCTTCTCCGTCAAATAAGGGTTGGAAACGTATCTGCAATTGTGGATGTCTATGGTCAGCGGTCGCTTCGCCATTTCGGTAGATTCAGGTGGCCGCTTGCTCGTTTGCCACCTTATGTAATAAAAAAAAATTATAAACTAACTGTTCCTGTGCGGCTTCAACCGCATGAAATTCTCGATTGGAAATGTCAAATTAACGTTACCATAACCTTGCTTCCTAAATGTTGACAGCTTGTAGTTTATGGTTCCTTTCCCAGATGAAGGTTTTTTCAATTTACTTACCTACTAAGTGTGATAGCATGAAAATATATTGCCCTTAGCATGTAAGTGTAGGGCTTTTTTTGAAAGAGAGAATTATTCAAAAATATGTGTAATGCTGACATCGTACGGTACACAGTAATGTGTTTGCGCTTTATTATATTAGTATAGATAGCATAGATAGAAGTAGTTAACGAAATTCTTGAAAATAGTTATCGAAGTAAACAATACGAATGTTACGTGCGTAAAAATACAACGTCGAATAAAAATTATATGTAAATTGCAAAATTCTGTTACGAATTAGCAAATTTTGCTGCATTTCAATGCATTGTTTTTAATAGTTTCATATATCAAAGCGGTTTTTGAACCGACAAAAGTGATTTGAAGTCGTATGTTTAACTTTGAATTCCAGTTATTTTAAAATTAACTTACTACTACTTAAAGGTAATAAAAAATAGATAAACTTTACATTTCTGCTTCATGTGGTATACCACATATACGTAATACGACAGTTTTTTAGTCTGGATTACTATTTATAACAATATAAAACTAAACAGAATTTAAATGATCGAATAAACATTTATTTAAAATGCTAAAAAAAATACACTACATTATAGAAAAGTTATCTTACCATTTCGAGCAAACTCACAGCGAAAAGCTAGTCTTTAATAACGCACCTGGCATAAAGGTGAAAATTCCAAAGACTAAAAAAAAACAAAATAAAAAACTCAAAAAAAACTTGAAAACGACGTACTATAGCTCCGCCCTAATAAAACAAGCTGCCGCCCCTTGTCTGTCCCTTTCGCACGTTAGTATCTCTGTCTGTCGCTTTGAAATGACACCCACCTTTGTCATTTGACCCCGAAACGCCGGTGGGTGAGGGTGTATAGGATATTTCCGAGTGTCAAATTAAACACCCAGTGTCATTGTTAAATTAAAAAGTGCTTTTGTGTACAATACAACCAAGAATAATATTAAATCTAACAAGATTCAAGGTAAGATAGTCAATTGTTTTTTATTACTTTAATAGTGTTTTTTTTTGTGTTCGCGGTAGTTTGAATTTAGAATGATAATTTTGAAATGTTAAGAACGCATAACTCGAGTGTAATTTCTAAATTAAAATTTTCAAATGTTTATCATTCTATTTTATTTCAATAACAATTAAAAAATTATGTTTATTGTTTCGTTCTTATTTTTTTTACTTCTGCGGTATCTTTTTATTTCGCAAAATTTATTTCTCTCTAAACCAGCTAAGATGTTTTACCCGCCGTAGGTCGGTAGCTCCGTGATACTCGTAGCTTAATGTACAGCGTAAAACCTTCCCGAAACTGTGAAAACAGGTAAGCTAAAGCAATAAGAATAGAAAAACATGCCTTCTAACAAAGTTTATTTTAAAATGCACGCGACTTCGACCCGTGGAAATAATAGAAATAGTAATAAATAAAACTCTTTTTAAAATTGGCCCAGTAGTTTTTGAGTTATTTCAATACATACAATATTAGTATAGAAGTATAGATTAACGTGGACTTTAGGACAGATAGACAGTTATACAAAAAATCGTATAAGCAAATAATTACATGCCGGCGAAATATTTTAATTTCATAAACATACTTTTTTGTTATATCTTACTAATATTATAAATGCGAAAATTAAGATGGTTGAATAGATGGATGTTTGTTAGAATTTGTATCTTAAACGGCTGAACGGATTTCAATTAAATTTGGTATAGATGTAGAGGATAGTCTGGAAGAACACATAGGCTACTCTCTGGAGCGTCCACAGAAGCGATCTAAGAGCTCGGTGGCCTTCCAATCCGGTGATAATAACGAAGTAACGGCTCGTGCCGAGGCTCCTGAGGTAGCCCTCGAGCTTAGTTATTCATGAACGAGGTTTAGGCTAAGCGCCATCTGCGCTCGGCCACCTCAAGCCCGGTAAATCTGTAAATGCCTCTTTAACAGTGGCCATTCAATCACAAAAAAAAAATAGGCTATACTCACTTACGTTTCTTTTTAATTCCACGCAGACGGAGTCTCGGGCGAAAGCTAGTAATTTTAGTAGGTAGATAAAACATAAGTGTGTGTATAATATAAGTGTGTAGTTAACATCGCATGTGAAAAGGAGAACAATTAAGTGTGGCATAGCGTTAGGTAGTCCTATGACGGTGAACTAGGCGGAAGGTAGGATGATTGAAGATAGACCGATGGAGCATGAAGATGGGGTGTACCGACCCTATGTGAGATAATATATTCCTGTCCTATCCCTTTCCTTTCCCATCATCTTATACGGAGGGGATGGGAAGGAAATGAGGATTTTACGGTGAAGACGCAATGTAGGGGAAATGTCCACTTTATGTGTCTCCTCCGTTAAGTAAGGGTAGACAACGCATCTGAAATGTATGAATATGGGCAGCGATCGCTTCGCTTTCTCGGCGAATTCAGGTGGCTGCTCGCTCGTTTGCCAAATTGAAGTATAAAATAAAATGTAGGATAAGGAGAGATGAAACAATAAAGACAGGAGAGAGATGTTGATTATTAAATCAGTTGTAGACAGAGTTTGCATTCTTGTGTATCTCTTAAAATATTCTTGTAAATGTTTTGTTCTACCCTCTTTAGAGTAAAAAGCGTGACCTAATTGCTTGCGGTTGTTTGCATCGAAACCTCCGGTCCGTGTCGCGTTATGTTATGAAAACAAAACGAATTATTTTTACTCGACAGCATGAAATTTTTTAAACGTCGCGAAATGATAGCTCGCATCCGCTGCGTTGGGTGAAAATAAAACTTGTAAATAATCTACTATACTGATGTTTTAAATTATAACAATATATTATACTTACCTGCGGCTCTGCGTAGAATTAATAAAAAAAAACAGGAGTAGGCAAGTAAGCCTTCCATCTACAGTATGCTCTACATCTGTTCCAAATTTATCCGAGATCCGTTTAACCGTTAAGGCTGTAAACTCTAACAAACCTCTAGTTTTATCTATTTTCCCTCATTATTAACTTATACATCAGCTATTGCCCGTTATTCTGACCGTGTGGAATTAAAACATACTCGTATTAGCTTTTCGGTATACCAGGTAACAGACAGTTGTTTTAGAGTCATACGGTGACAAACATACCTCCATTTAAACTTTTGCATTTATAATATTAGCATTATTGTCTACAAGCTTTCGCACCCGACTTCGACTGCGTGGAATTAAAAAAAAACAAAAACAAAAGTGAGTAGCCTATGTGTTACCAGACTATCCTCTACATCTATACCAAAATTCATTAAAATCCGTTCAGCCGTTTAGGCTACAAACTCTAACAAACCTCCATCATCCAAAAATCCATCCATCCATAAAAACTTTCGCATTTATAATTTTAGTATTAGTATGATTTGTTACTGGCCTAAGCGAATAGATTGGGTAATGTTTTAGCGGGTTTGTATAATGTGATTTACTTACCGAGTTTGTCGTAGGCAACAGTCTTGTATGTTTATTTTTTTTTTTAAATTAACGGTTAACTAATTTTATAGGAGCATATTGTTTTTAATATTGTAGGAAATAATGGTTGTTGGATTATTTTTAGTTCAGTTTTCTTTGTTACAGGTACAAAAACTGAATCGTAATGAAATCGACCAACATGGAGTCCTGTTCGGACCGTTTGAGTCCTTGCAGTGATCTAACAAGCGAATCGGAAGCCTCACTCCCGCCATTTCCTTACGATAACCAAATAAACAATTACTACACGAATACGGAGGTCGGAGGAAAGCAATTATATTCATGTAAACAGAAAAACGAAGAGAAAAAAGACTATATACAAGAAAGTAATAAATTATTCGAAAACTATTTGACCGGGAAAAAGCATTTCATATTTGACGTGAAATTACCATCGACAAATGAGAACATTTTTTCGCAAATCGAAGGCGAAGATCGGACGCGTTCGGGATATTTCAACGAAATACAGAATATAAAAAGTTGCGTTCAAAATGAGAATTTAAATATGTCTGATGTGGAAGTTGCGCCGGCGGTTAATTTCGAAAATGTTAATAATGTTTTAAACGAAAGGGACAGAGTTCCGCCATCTTTTTTCGTTGAGAATGAAGATAATAATATGGGTGGATGTTTTAGTTTTAATTCTGAACAAGTGCAGTGCGTATGTGAGGCGTTACAACAGAGAGGTGATATAGAAAAATTGGCGGCCTTTTTATGGAGTTTGCCGCCAAATGAACTGCTTAGAGGAAATGACACTGTATTGAGGTATTATTTAAAAACAATTACACTTTTAAATGCATTATTAATCGCTTTCACCCGCGAATTTATCCACATGGAAATAAAAAAATTAGAAGTAGCCTATGTGTTCTACAAGACTCTACTTCTACATGTTTGCCAAATTCCATCAAGATCCGTTAAGCAGTTTAGGCTACAAACTCTAACATCCATCCATCTAAGCTTTCAATTTAGTCCCAGTTCATTTCCATCCAATTCCACGTTCAATTTAATCCAGTTCCAAGGTCATTTGATACTTAGACACTGGAACGCAAATAAAGTAATGCCCAGTTCCCACTTTACCAGTACAGTAGGACAGTTGAAATTGCAAGCGACAGTCATTGGCGTCAGTTAGCGTTCACATTCTGCCAGTTATTAGTCCAATCAGAGCGTCACTGACCAAGTACTGGCTAAATGTAAACCGCGCATAATAGAAAACAATTTTATATGTTTTAGAGCACGTGCCTTAGTAGCATACCATAGAGGTGTGTTTCAAGAACTCTACGCGATTTTGGAGTCGCACACATTCTCGCCGAGACATCACTCCGGTTTACAAGATCTATGGTATAAAGCACATTATAAAGAAGCGCAAAAAGTACGCGGACGTCCTTTAGGTAAGTAGTATTATTTGTAACAACATTAATTTATTTGTAACAAGGTAATTAACTTCAACATTCAGACTACTAACTCCCGGCAGAATGGCGCGCTATTCTCAAACGTCTGAATGACATTGACAGCTGTCCTAGTGACGGGACGTATATGCCAATGATCTAGTGTTGCGTCGATCCTCTAGCTAGCTAGCAGTACTGATTTTCTTTTTAACAGTAGGTAAAGCAATCTCAAAGTGGTTTAAATGAAACATGGTGTTCCACGGATGTGTTGACTCAATCGACAGACTCCTTCCTATTCGTATCTTCCATCGTCAAATCCTTTTTCCCTTCCCATCCTTTCCTAATAAGAAAAGTTAACTGGACTAAATTTAGGCCTCCGACACGCATACTTATCAGACTGTATGCGGAATTGCTTTCACTTCACGCCTGTCTTCTATGTGGTCGTGGTATAGGTGGGGGTGAGTCGACCCTACAGTGCGAAGATGTTACAGCGGGCTCTACCACTGTCATATTATGGGTTTATTGTAACAGAAAATTGAAATGTCTATGTGAAAAATAGTTTAGGAATCACTATCGCAGATTGAGGAATCTCGCAGAGCGGACACAAGAATTAAAATTAGTTTTTTTGAACAGAAATAAAATAATAGTATCTCTAATAACGATTATAATATGAGATTTTGTTTCCTAAAGGTGCAGTTGACAAATACAGATTAAGAAAAAAATATCCATTACCGAAAACAATATGGGATGGCGAAGAAACCGTTTACTGTTTCAAGGAGAAAAGTCGGAACGCATTAAAAGATTGTTATTATAGAAATAGGTAAGAGTTACTCTGATAGTTTCTATATTTTAAACACAAATATAACTACTTTAGAATTGAATTACTTAGGCTTATCTATACAAATACTATAAAGAGAAAAGATTTGTATTTTTGTATCAAATCAAAAACTACTGGAACGATTTAAAATTCTTTTACCAAGATATAGCTACCTTTTAACTGAGTAACATAGGCTAGGTTATATTTATTAAATAAATTATTTCCGCGCGGACAAATACGCGAGCATCAGCTAGTTTGATATAAAATACAGACTTTAATTGACGTATTCTGGTTTAATTGTTCATGAAACATGACCTTAGTGTAGATTTATCCTTAAATTAATAAACTAACGACTTTACTCAAATTCGTTTGTATACATCAATATTATTTGTAACTTACTTCTTACCACCCTGTTCTCATACGGAGAAGATGGTAAGGGGAAGTGAATTTGACAGTGGAGGAGATGCATAGGAAGAGGAAATATCCTCTTTGTGTGCGTCTCCTCTTCCGTCGTATAAGGGTAGGCAACGCATCTGTAATTGCGGATGTCTATGGGCAGCGGTCGCTTCGCCATTTTGGTGTATTCGGGTGGTCGCTTGCTCGTTTGCCACCTTATGTTATAAAAAAAAAAACTGAGTGTAGTAGTAAGATTTGTATTGCTTTAGATATCCCACACCTGATGAGAAGAAAGCGCTCGCAGCCAAGACGGGGCTGACGCTCACTCAGGTCTCAAATTGGTTCAAAAATCGACGCCAGAGGGACAGAACTCCACAGCAACCGAATAGACCGTAAGTTCACTTTGACTGTTAAGAGACAGGACTGAGAATATATGATTTTAATTTTTTCATCACTTCTCATTATAGGCAGGATTTTATAGCAACGCGGTTTTTGCTTAGTCCATATGTTCAACGGATTTTGACATTCAAAATATGTCAGCAATTACCTAGAAGTAATAAAAGCATCGCATAAGTACAGTCGCGAAATTCCACGGTGTTTCATTTATAGAAAAACACCTAGCTTTTTTAATTTCAACAAAATACATTTTTATCACAGTAATATTATAAATGCGAAAGTTTAGATGGATGATATAGCCTAAACGGTTGAACAGATTTCGATGAAATTTGGCATAGATGTAGAGCACAGTCTGGAAGAACAAATATATCGCGGGCGAAAGCGAAAGCGGAAGCTAGTATAACCATATTTGTGTACTTGTGATATTAAACGTATTCTATAAAATCTTCAAATGTTGCATTTTATAGGTTATTTTTCCGCGTCGTTTCAATGCATACAAAACGTTCAAAAGTCTAGTTTTTAAGGTGGTATACAGACAGATTCCCCAATTGTACGACGACCTCAGTCAAAACCGAAAGTGTCTCACAATAACCTTGTCGAACTGTCTTGATCGAACTCTTTAAAACATAAGTGATAGAACTAGCAACGACAAAGCTCTTACGGCCAGATAAGGAATTATTCTCAACCGTCATCCCGCTCTGTCCCCACGTGAGAATAAAAAGTTCCCTCCGTTCCCCCTGTCAGTTCCACTACCACTAATAAGGTGAGATGGAACCGTTACAAAATAAAATAAGTTCCAACCGTCTCCTTATCGCAAGGGGTGGGATGAACCTTTTTATTCTCAGATGTCCTCACGTGGAGACAGAGTGGGCGACGGTTGGGAATAATCCCAGATAAGTTGGCCGCACTGTAATTGGAGCCGTACCTTGTCAATGTCATAAATCTGACCATAAACTAAATATTGTTTTTATTTCGTATAAGCGGCCCTTTGTTTCCGATACGGTTAGATTTGTTTGTTACCGTCTCGAGGTTTTCGACAATCGCGCACTATGTTAGAACTTAAAAGCTGACAGAATTATAGCTCTCCGTATATCCGCTTAAACAATTAATAAAATAAAACAATACACATTCAGACTCATTAAAAGATTACTTAAGTAAACTATACTAATATTATAAAGAGGCGAGATTTGTATTTTTGTATGTATTGAAATAACTCAAAAACTAATGGGCCGATGTAAAAAATTCTTTCACTGTTAGAAAGGTAATTTATTTGTGAGTAACATAGGCCAGATTTTTTAATTTCACGCGAACGGATTCCCGGTCAACAGCTAGTAGTTATTAAATACGATATAATTGAATATAATGTTTTATAGCTTCATAATAAATGGCAAAACAAGAATTTGTGGTAAATAAAATCGTGTAATTTAATTAAATGTTACTTTTTCTAATTAACAACTGTGAAGATAAAAAAAAAGTTGTTGCAGGGCGTTTGTCTTCCCGCCATAATGTGACAGATTCGATAAAAAATCAATCACTGGCCAGCATGTGCGTTGAACGCTTAGGGTGACCATTGTTAAAAGAAATAAAACATATCTTTTTTTAAATAGATTAACTACTCTTATATGTTAAAACAACACAATCATAAAGTAGGTACCTAATAGTTTTAATTTTATCGTATGTTAAATCTTATATGTACTACGTGTTTATACAGTTTATTTTCTAAAAAATAAATGGTTATTAATGTCTTGTTATAAATGTTATAAATGTCTTGGTTTTTAAACTAATAGGAGCGGTGCAAGAACCCGAAAGGCGAATGGCCATTGAAAGACGGCAAAACTCTTTTTTCAAAATTTATTTTAAGAAAGTTTAAATATATTCCGAACTTGTGGTCACCCTGCTTCTCTTTTGCATGCATTGTTTCAAGTTTAAAGGACCCTCATTACGACTCATTAATCAATCGGACATAGATATGGTGTAGGAAAAGCACATGTGCTTAGAACAAATGGTCAGTGGGTTGCCATTGTGCATAAAAATAATGGTTTAACGAATACGCCTTTGTCATTTAAAAAAAAAAAAAATTGACCCGTGAAAGCCGCCCTGTGCCCATTCTGATTTATTTTTTAAAACTATCCTCATCTAAGAATGTGCGGATTTAATAGAAAAATGTAATAGTAAATAGCTTTCATAAATAAAGAAAAATTTAAGTAGCCTATGTGTTCTAGATTCTAGATTATCCTCTACATATGTATATGGCAAATTTTATTGAGATCCGTTTAGCAGTTTTGGCTACAAACTCTAACAAACATCCATCCATCTAAACTTTCGCATTTATAATATTAGTAAGATTAGTAAGAAATATGTTACTAGTAATTATGTTATTACTATTCTAGTAGTTTCATATTATTAATATGTATAATGGCTGTACTATATTTTAAATTGACGCAAATCGATTTTCGAAGGCAAAAATACTGGCAGCTTTTAATTTGCTCTTAGAACGTCATTGTTTTGGATATCGCTCGTATGTTTTTTTGCAAAACGTGAGGTCTGGCTGGCGACAAAATTTGGGTTACACGAATAGAAAACGCGATTTCAAACTTTAACGTCACAGATTTAAGAATTAGAATTGATTGCACTATAACTTTACATTTTTTTGTTATATGGACTTTGTAGCTACGAGGCATACGTGATTTTAATTTAAGAACTATTATTAAATTCCCGTGCTAAGGCGACTACTTATCAAAGTTTCTTTCTTGCATAATTTCAGACACCTGTGAAAAATCTTATCCCGTCACCGCTTTTGAACAAATCGATTTTATTTGTAATTGTTTTTTTTTTACAGTGAAATGTTAGTGCCGGCACAGTACGTGGGGCCACAAGGTGGATTATCACAGACCTTCCTGCAGAATCCATATTATCACAAGCTGCAAGACGCATCTCATTATCTTCACGGAGGTGCATCCTGAATGTTGCCTACATAAAAACTATTAAACTCGAAGATGTAATTAAATTATATTTTTTTAGTTATTATGATCAAGTGGAGAAAACTTTTCGTTCCTAAGCGACCAAAAACTATTAGTGTCATTTTTATTTCCTGCACAAGTTTAACGAAATATTATAGATATTGTGATTAAGGTGATGAGGAAAGAAAGCCTTTTCTCATTTTATTTGTTAGAATTTCACGAAAACACGATTGCGAATAAGTTAAGTTAAGATAAGTCTTCATGTTAAGATTTTATTTCATTGAAATAATATTTTTTTAGTTTGCAAATCCAATAAATTGATTATTCAGATTATTGTCGTAATAGATTTTCATAACGTTAAAAGTCTGTTGATTATGGTACGTAAATAATAATTTAGTTTTCAGAGATTACATTTTCCTTGCAGGTATTTTAAGTTATTTACTGTTTCTATAGTTTACTTAATTCCACAGTATTTAAGATTATAAGGAGGCTTTTCTTGTTGAGATTTATATCATATCTGTGTAAATATAATGGTGCTCTTATGTTAAAATGATTGTCTAGTCTACAGATGGATTAAAATATTACAAAAAAATGCTGTTTTATTTTTAAATAGACTTCGATTCTACAAAACAGAATTACAGAACCGTATTTTACTAATGTACTTTGTCAATTTAAAAATAAGGCATTTCAGAAGTAATTGTATATTTCTTTATCTGCAAAAGTTTGGAATTTACAACGAAAGGCCACATATTTTTATTAAAAGAAACCAATCGTTTTATACTTGGTTTAAAATGAAGTAGATTGATGATTGCCAATATCGATTTAGCAACTTGTACTGGCAACCCCGTTCATTAAATGTCACTGCCAGACATCAGTTGTCAAAAGTCATAATATTTTGTCATCCGCGATTTTCTTTGTGATCCATAATTAATTAATTTAAGGTTTGCAAAGTAAATAATATCTCATTCGGTATAATTTTGCTTAAAGTCAATAAGGTTTTGTAACACTTCCTGACTTTGATATATTTATTTAGATTGTAGAATAATCAATGTTGATGACGTAAAAGTGAAAGAGTATCGATAATGAGCGACTCCAAATCTTATGTGAACTTCTCATGCCAGCGTTGCCTGCAGCCTCTAAAGTTGGACGAATCGTTGAATAACCTTGGCGAGCACACAATAGCAGATTTAACACTTCAAATACGAAGAAATAACGAGGTAGATTTAGATTTGCAATCTGCGAGCTTGGAGCACTATGTACCACCTTTTCGTATGTCAGAATCAGGTAATTATTAATTCAACAAGCTTTTACCTATGACACCGTGTTCGTGCAATTAAAAAAAATAACTAGTAGCTTGTTTTCTCCCATACTATATTGTACATTTATGCCAAATTTCATCAAGATCCGTTTAACCATTCAAGCTGTGAACTCAAACATCTATCCATCCATCCAAATCAACTTTCACATTGATAATAGTAAGTTAGTAACTATAAGAATGAAAGCATTGTGGTGCAACCTGCACATATCAATGAAGAAATTCAAAGACATGTAAAGTCAACCTGCATTGGCCCAACGTGATTGACTAAGGCCTAGTTACCCTAATTAAGTTCCGAGTCCCTCAGTGGGGATGTTTAGCTGGTGATGATGATGAAGTAACTTTGCAATTTTAAACTAATGAAACTAAACATACACTAAATTTCTTTACAGGTAATGGTGCCAATGGATTCATGGTAATATCAGATGGTTGGGAAACAACCTCTTTAGGGCATCAGTTACATGTAAAAGCGACATTATTTGATTTACTATCAAATAATTCGGACGTCGATCATCCACTTTGCGATGAATGTACTGACACACTACTAGAACTGATGGACAATCAGTTACGTCTAACTGAAGCGGAATGGAAGGATTACAATGATTATTTAAAAAAGCTAGAAGATGATAAGGAAGATTTGAATTTAGAAGGACTAGAAAAAGAATTAGAAGACTGGAAACAAGAACAGAACAGATTATTAGAAGAACTATCCGCTTTACAGAAGGAAGAGAAGGCTATGAAAGATGAAATTGACGTACAATTGAAGGAAAAAGAACGTTTAGAGAAAGAACAAGATGTATACTGGAGAGAATATACGAAATATCGTAAAGATTTAATGACAACAGAAGATCAGATGAAGTTTTATGAATGTCAGTTATCATACACACAATCACAATTAGAAAAATTGAAGAAAACCAATGTGTTTAAAGCAACATTCCATATATCTGATTCTGGACAATTCGGTATAATAAATAATTTTAGATTAGGCAGATTGCCCACAGCACCTGTAGATTGGTCGGAAATCAATGCAGCGTGGGGCCAAACTGTTCTACTATTATCTTCTTTAGCAAGAAAGATTAATTTCTGTTTCCAAAGATACCGTTTAGTTCCATTTGGTAATCATTCATATATCGAAGTGTTGGAGGATCAAAAGGTTTTACCATTGTATGGGTCGGGAGGTTTTCGATTCTTGTGGGATACTAAATTCGATGCAGCGATGGTAGCTTTTTTAGATTGCTTGCAACAATTTAAGGAACAAGTAGAAAAGGGCAACACTGGTTTTTGTCTACCATATAGGATAGATAAAGGCAAAATAGAAGATACAGCATCCCCACCGCACGCTTATTCTATCAAAATACAATTCAATTCAGAAGAACATTGGACGAAGGCATTAAAATATATGTTGACTAATTTAAAATGGGCGTTAACTTGGATTTCGTCACAGTTCAGTGAAGATAAAACTGAAGAACAGTAATAACAAAGCCATAAAGAATAGAAGATTAAGACCAGGTCTTTTGAATTAATGGCGCCCTGGGAGTGGATTCTTCGGCATCCTTCAACTACATTACAGATACGAAAAAGGTAAAAGGGGCGCCTGTGGCTCACTTCATGTCGCCCATGGCGCCTCCTTATTAAGCTAGAGGCGCCTCGTTGTCGATGGTGGCGCCTTTATATGTCGCCCAAGGCGCCTCTTTATGAACTCAGCGGCGCCTCTCGCTTGTGGCACCTAGGTGAGAGAGTGGTCACTCGTGGCACCCCTTTGCGGTTTGTGGGGCCTTTTTGTCGCTCGTGGCGCTTCTTTGCCGCTCGTGGCGCTTCTTTGCCGCTTGTGGCGCCTCTTTGTCGCCCATGGCGCCCTGGACGGTACAATCTATGACTATTGGCATTCTCAATGGTTTCAAATATCATAATGGTACATGTCTAAAAATATTGTCTGTTAATTTGAAACAGTGAAATTATGATTTTTTATGTTTAGTGATTTGTAGTCAAAAGTAAATATTTTTAATTTTATGTGAATGGTGATTTCTGTGATATTCAAATGTATTTTGTTAAAAATTAATTTTCGAGTCATGTTAAGCAAAACTAATGTTGGAATTTTTTAAACAGAAATATGTGATTTTTTTTTTTTAAATCGTTTTGCCTTTTCATGTTTCATTATTAAATTATAAGAAATATGTGATGTAATAAACATTTATTGTGTAATCTTAATATATTATTTGCCCATAAAGGTTTTATTTTGAATTGTAACACCCCTTGTATAGAAATATATATAGAGTTAAATTACTGCAGTACAAAATTATTTTCTTTTTTGTAATAAAAAGATAATCTCAATTTTATTATTTATAACAAAAAGAAGTAAGTATTGATATAAAGAAGCGACATCTATGATTAATTACTTAGAACTAACATCAGTTGCTTTCTAAGATTTCTACGAGTTTCAGAATTAAACAATAGAGGGCGTTGAATATTAGTTTTGTAAAAAAAGAAAAGTGTTTTATTTATTGTCAGCTATAGCTATAGGTTTAAAAGGTAATGGTCAATACTTTTATCGAAAATATTGTTCTTTTGTGGTAATACTAATAAATATATTAACATAACGTTAATAAAACAAGAATTTCTTGTCATTACTCTACTCTGGGGCGGAAGTAAGACTTCCTTTGTATTCGATAATTAATCTTGTTAAAGCTTGTCTCATATCCTGCCGGATAATAAAGGTTACATAAACATCTTTGTCACAGTAATGACGCAGATTCACTTGATTAATTGTATGTCATTTAATTACACGTTTTACAAGAAAATAACAAAGATAAATTATTGTCGTTTATTATCACCCAATTTTAGAGGTTGTGTTTTTTTTGACTTCCCAAAAGGAGGTACTGAGGAGGTAGTACGAAGGTACAATTCGTTTGTTTTATTATGTTTGTGAATTAGTATTTTTGTAAATACGATTGTGCTCTCCTAGATGGCTGGAACGGTTTTAAAAATAGAGTTTGAGATAATTCGTTCCTCGTATTATGATATAGTCAATCGGCTTTTTTTTTGCCTTCTGATTTCCCAAAAAAGACCTCCTTCTTTTGGGAAATCTACTACCTACCTATATTTGAGTACCTACTCAATTCGTATGCATGTTTTTTAATTTTTTTTTATATGTGTTATTAGATTTAGACTTTGATTGAATATAATTAATCTGGATTACTAAACTTGGCATTAAACTTAGGGTACACAATGAATCATGAATTGATTCTAACAAAACATTTACAAAACTTTCTTAATATTCCTCATCCTCACCTCTAAAAGTTCTTGTGGTTTTCTAAACTTACATAATATTCTGTTAATTATGAACGAGAACCTTCTTATGTTTAAAATGGAGGTAAATAAAAATAATTTCACGTGAATATAAAATTTATTAGTATTTTTAGTAGTAATTTATAGTAAAAACTGCCCTGTTTCACTTGGGGGTAAAAAATAAGGTCTTGTTTTTTTGGAGGTCTTGTTTTCTTGTATTTTTTATTAGTAAAAATATATAAAACTTAATAAGGTTTTTTCTCCGTAACCCAATTCTTTCCAACAATTTGTCCGTTGCCCTCAGGATTTGCATTTATATTAAAAGTTCCGGCTGCTGCCACTAATGCTTACATCGAGGAAAGTAATGAATAAAACAAAAATTATACGAATAGAGACGTAATATTTTTCTAACTTTCCTCTCCGTGCGTTAACTTTTTTTGAACTTTTTTAATGATTTTTTTTTAAGTAAATACGTACGAAAACTGCGAAAAACTTCTTTTTTTGTTCTTTGAATAATACTCCAGCCAAAACAAAAAAAAAACAAAGTTTTATTTCCATTACATCTTGAAGGTTTTTTTCATAATTAATTATTTTGATAGTTTTTTATTTTGCTAAGAAGTTTTCAAATATTTTTTTCGTGTTAACCAAAAAATCCTGTAAAAACATACATAGAACCTTCTAACATTACATCCGAGCACACAAAGGGTCCGTAAGCCTGCGTCTAATTTACGACGGCCGTGGACTATTGTATTAGCGGGTGAGGCCGAAATGCCAGACCTCTGGTTTTATCTCTGATTAGGGCTGCCAACTTTCAAACTTTACCCCAAATATTGACCGCAAAAAAAATGACTCTATGCCCTTGATTGATGAAAAAGAGCACATCCACTTGTTTCACAGTATTTGCCTCAAGTAAATTGAGGTGATAACCCTATTTCTGGTAGGTACAAAATCTTAATGCAATTCTATTATTTCTATAATTTTGATATCATTTGTTGTTTTCTATCCTTTTGTTTGAAAGTAATTGACTGTTTAACATGTGCATTAAAATATTCAGTAAAAAAATCGCAAAAAAACAAAAAATATTTTTTTTTTAAGTATTTAAACACAAATAGTGTATATTCCTACTCATTGATATCTATCTTCGAAAGTCGTATTTTTTAGTAAAGAAACCGATTTATTCCTTCCAAATATTTTCCAGTCACGTTTTTATAGAATATTGACCTTCGATCGTCGGGTATTCTTTGTCCTGAGATAGAATATTAGAACGAATGGTTTTGACAAGATCAATTGATGAGGGTATTAAAAATGTCTTACCACGATAGAAAGTCTTCTTGTGATTGTAAAATGAAACAGTAAAAAAAAACAAAACCAACATTTTTAAATATCTTTATTGAGAATATTTGTTTGACTATACTTCAGGGTATTTGTTGACGAAATACAATTCATCGTAATTACCAAACCATTGTTCGTAATCATTAAACAGCAACTGAAATGTAGAGGTTAGTTGCTTTAAATATGAAAAATAAAGTTGTGACAGCAACAAAATAAAATGTGCCTTTTTAGTTATTTTTTCAAAGTATAGATGGCGTTGTTAACAATTTTTAAATTAAACAATAAAATAATTATTAATTTACAATTGTTTTATACTCACAGGGAAATCAGGCTGAGGATAGAGAATATATTGTTACTCAGTATAAAATTATTTAAGCTCTACTTTAGACTGAGAGATTGCGCACACCTGAAACTAAAATATCGCACAACTGTTTAATCTCACATTGATTTTATGGATCTGCGCATAATACTCGATTTTTAGCTGTGCAAATAAACAGTTGAATGGGCTGCGAAATAACCGACAATCGCACAACAGCTGTACGATAGTTTAGTCAAGGTGTGAGCCCTCTCTAAATGTAGTGAAATACGTGAACGTTTAAATTTCTTTTACTTACAATGAACTTAGATGTCTGAGGCTAAAACAACAAAAATATGATATCAGTCGATACGAAAAAAACATCTAAAGTTAGAAGGAACTGGGGTCATAGTATTTGTATGAGATTTGTCGATACTCTTAACGTTAAAATTAAATCTATACTATTATAATAAAGCGTATACACTTCTTTGTTGCCTAAGATGTCAGCAATCACAGCATATTTTTGAATAATACTTTTTTAAATAAAAAGCCCTACACTTACGTCACGTTTTAGGCTATATATTTTCACGCCATTAAACTTAGGGGATAAATATTTTGGATAAAAACTCTAATGTGGGAAAGGGACTATAATTTGCTGCCAATCAACCAAGCAAGGTTGCGAAGGTTTGTCATGTCGTGTCATTTTGACATTTGCTATTGATAATTGGACAAATGTAGACAATAAAATAAAATTTTCATAATTACATGCGGATGAAGCCGCACGGGAACAGCTAGTATAATTATAAATGAACTTACATAAGGTCGATATTGCTGGAAAAGTTCAAACTTACTAATGTACTAAAGTTTAGGTTAAGACAAAAATTAAATCAATTATTTAAGAAAATTAATTTCTTTTTTTGTTAGAACATCACGTTTACAGCATCATCATCATAATCATCATCATCATCACCAGCACTATACATCCCCACCCAGGGGCTCGCAGCCTACCCTAGAGGTGACTAGGCCATAGTCAACAACGCTGCACTGCGGGTTGACTTCACACATATCTTTGAATTTCTTCGCAGATATGTGCATGCGTCATGATTTTTTCCTCCACCGTAAGAACGTAAGGTATGTACATATGAAAAATCAAATTGGTACTGCGGGATTCGAACCCAATACCTGTAGATTACAAGTGCTTAAACCACTGTGCCTTCGACGCTCACTAACGCTAACGGTATATGTTATAATACAATTAAAAAAAAACAAGTCATTTATAAATTCTACGTATGGTTCTTTTTTTTTGTAATTGATTTTATTTTTCGTGATTTCTTTTTTTTTATGATTTTAGGAATCAGGTTTTTTAAACTTTTTTTAAAACATTACCTGTTCATTGTAAATTGGTGGTTGATTCTGTTTGTTTCGTCCATGTTTCTTGTATGAATGTTTGTAAGGATTCTGTGTAAGGAATAAATGCAGTTAAGTTATCGAAGTAAAAGTACCAAAAAGTAAGTTAACTAGTAATTGTTAGCATATGTACAAAAAAACTCACATAAGGTCGTTTTTCCTTTGGCTGTTGAAAATATATGTTTATTAATAAATAATGTTAAAGAAATTAAAGAAGTCCATCATAAGACCTGTCCTGTATGATGTCCTGATCTGAATGTTGGGCCACCAAAGTTGCGGGTGAACGGAGATTACATGTGGCTGACATGGGCATGTTAAGATGGATGTGTGGTGTGACAAGAATGGATAAAGTTAAGAATGTGTATAATAGGAAGTTCGAAAGTAGCGCCAGTGGTGGAGAAATTGAGAAGCAAAAGGATAGCGTGGTATGGACATGTAATACGACGAAACGATGGGGACATAAACAAGAAAGTGTTAAGATTGAATGTGGATGGCTACAAAGGAAGAGGAAGACCGAAGAAAGTATGGATGGATTGTGTGAAAGAGGATATGCTTAAGAAAGGAGTGGATTCAGATATGACGGATGATAGAGATGTATGGAAGAGCACATACTGTGCCGACCCTCCATAAGGGATAAGGGCAAGTGGATGATGATGATAAAAAGATTAAAGAAATGTCTTGTAATGAAAAAAAAATTAAAACGCAAACTAGGCTATTAAATTTAAATTACACAGACACAGAAACAAAATATTTTTGTACGTCCTTTTGCCGGAATAAAAGTATACCGTCCCTTTTTAATCTTATTTACCTCATTAATATTAAAAATGTGAAAGTTTAATTGGATGGATGTTTGTTAGAGTTTGTAGCCTAAACGGCTGAACGGTTTTCGATGGAATTTGGCATATACGTAGAGGATATTCTAGAAGAAGACATAGGCTACTCACTTTTGTTTTTTTCAATCCCACGCTAACGGAGTCGCGGGCGAAAGCTAGTTAATTTGTAAACTTACGTATGGATGATGCACCCTTGTCTGTAACTTAAGGAAAAGATTTGTATTTACTACAAATGTAATTCAAATTGAGTTTTTGAAAAATAATTATCTTTGCTATATCATTTAGGGTCTGTCCCACCAAATTGTTAATTGTCTGATAACAATCCAACATTTAAAATATGTAATAGAAATATCGGCTTTTGTTCCCTTATCTGACAGTTTCGTCATTTTTAACCTATCTGAGCCTCTATCAGTCAATGGTGGGACAGGCCCTTAGAAAATAAAAATTCTTAGTTATTCCACATTTTCTTTTACCAGTACGTACTAAGGGCTAAGTAGAATATACTATACTAAGTAGAATTAATTGTTGAACGGATCTCGATGAAATTTATCATAGACGTCTGGGAGAACACATAGGCGACTTATATTTTTTTAAATTCTACGCAGACGGAGTCGTGAACAAAAGCTAGTATTACTATACTAAATTAATTGTATAGATAGATTATTAAATAAATAAATAGAACTTTATTAACAAACTAGCTTTTGCTCGCGACTTCGTTTTCGTGAAATTAAAAAATAATGTAACCTATGTAACAGATAAATTTTCTTTCTAACGGTAATAGAATATTAAAAATTTGCCCAGTAGTTTTTGACTTATTTCAATACATACAAAATTACAAATATATTTCTCTTTATCTTATTTGTACAGATAAAATATTACTGCGGGTATAGTATATCCATATAAAAAAGTAATAAAAAAAGTTACCTTTTTCTTTTTTAAACGGTATAATCTTGCGTTTCTATAATGTTTTACATGGGGAGCTTCATGATTAGTCTGAAACAAAAGAAGTCAATCTTACTAATATTGTAAATGTGAAAGTTTAGATGGATGGATGTTTGTTAGAGTTTGTAACCTAAACTGCTGAACGTATTGCGATTAAATTGAGCATAGACGTAAAGGATAATCTGGAAGAACACAAATGCTACTTTCTTTTGTTTTTTAATGCCACGCGGACGTCGCGGGTGAAAGCTTGCTAATATTATAAATATGAAAGTTTAGATGGATGGACTGTTAGAAGGTTTATCCAGAACGACTTAACGGATGCGGTTGAAAATTGACACAGATGTAGAACATAGTCTGGAGGAGCTAAATAGCTTACTGTTTTATGTCGCAAACGGATTTGTCGCAGAAAGCTAGTCACGAAGTTATACTAACTATTTGATTGGGGTCGTAGCACCGACCGTGTGCTCCCGTGTAAGGACAGAATGTATTTTGCTGATGACCTTTGCCTTGATATCGATGTGTCTGAATAGAAAAACAATAATTATTGCTTCAATAGACTATTTAACAAATACAATATATAGACATTAAAATTGAAACAAATACCTTTTTCTTTTTTAAACGGTATAATCTTGCGTTTCTATAATGTTTCACATGGGGAGCTTCACGATTAGTCTGAAAAAAAAGTCAATCAATATTAAAAATCATCTCACCTACTTTATCCTACGTTTTCGTCCTCCACATAACTCTATCATACGTCATCTCAGTCATCACTCCCTTCTTGATCATGTCACCTTTCACACAATCCATCTCTTTCTATCTACCCTTACCGGTGTACCCCTCCACATTAATAACTCACATCCTTCTTGTTATAGCGTCGGTGGTTCAGTGGTTTAAGCTCTTGACTTGTAATCTACAGGCCTTGGGTTCAAATCCCGCCATGTACCAATGTGATTTTCGATTTTTCGAATTTTCATATGTACATATATCCGACGTTCTAACGGTGAAGAAAAACATCGTGATGCCTGCACATATGGGCGAAGAAATTTAAAAGATACGTGTGAAGTCAACCAACCCGCACTGGGCCAGCGCGGTTGACTATGGTCTAGTCACCCCTTATTAGGGTAGGCTCCGAGCCCCTCGGTGCTGACGTATAGTGAGCTGGTGATGATGATGATCCTTCTTGTTACATGCGATTCATGCCTTCTCATAACACCATACCAATCTAACCTTTTACTCCTTACCTTGTCAACCACTGGGGCTACTCTAAAACTTCCTCCAATATACTCATTTCATGTTAACTCAGATCCATCTTAACATTCGCATTTCTGCCACATCTAGTCTCCTTTCACCCGTCCCTTCAATTAATATCATAAATGTGAAGGTTTAGATGGATGGATGTTTTTTAGAAGGTCTATCCAGAACAACTTAACGGATATGGTTGAAATTGGATACAGATATAGAACACACATAGTCTGGAAGAGCAAATAGGCTACTTTTTACGAGTATAACGCAAACGAATTCGCGGCAGAAAACTAGTAACGAAGTTATACTAACTATTTGATTGGGGTCGTAACACCGGCCGTGAGCTCCCGTGTACGGACAGAATGTATTTTGCTGATGACCTTTGCCTTGATATCGATGTGTCTGTGAAAAACAATGATTATTACAAAATTTCATAATTCACGACCGTAGCTTAGATGGGTAAGCAGAGACAACTTTATTTTACCTCAGTCCTGTCACCTCTCACTTCTTAAATGTACATGCAAATTGGTTTGAAATGCTCTTAATACTGGCTCTCATTTCCGACCAATTTTAACCAAAACATAAAAACATTGCATTATTCATTTTTGTTACTCCAGTTTACAAATTAAATCAAAAACTAGTGGTTAAGAGAGTAAGTAGAATAAAAAAAAATAATAAAAAGTAATTCACCTGTGCAGCAAAAATTATATTAACCAATGAAAAAAACAGCAATAGTAATAGTATTTTGATACGCATTGTTGTAAATAAAATTATTTAATCAAACGAACCTTTAAATAGTGTGTAATAAATACAATTAGAGGCGAATTAATTACACATTACACGAGACTGTGAAAATTAATTTTTAACGCATGTCGTTACAAAATTGTATTCGTGGTTTCTTGACTTAATAAAAACATTCTTGTCTCCATTTTTACAAAGAGTATAAATATATGTTTTGTAACTTTAGGTATTAAATACCTATTACAGATTTTAAGGCCGAGGTTCAGAGTCGCTAATATAGTTTCCCTTCCCGCCTATTTTTTAAGGTAAAGTGTATTTAATGGTGGAGGAGACGCATACAAAGGGTCAAATACACTTTTTATGTGCGTCTCTTACTTCTTCAATTAAGGGTAGGCAACGCATCTTCAATTGCGGATGTCTATGGGCAGCTTTTGACTTTTGTAATATAAAAAAATGTATCCATTTATTTATTAATTTTATAGACTTTAGAAAAGAACTCGAAATGCAAAAGCTTCGAAATTGAAGGCAATAATTACAGAGTACCGAAAGGAAAATAAACAAGAAAGAATGAATTGAAATGGTTTAACAAAGATGCGTTGATGATAGAGTTTCTCGACGGAAATAGACGCAATGAGGGGTTAAAAACTGCTGTAATTAGAGATTCTAGTTGGGATCTTTCGTAATAGTATAGACTAGCTATTGCTCGCGACTTCTTCCACACGAAATTAAAAATTGTTAAATAATTTAGCGCCAATAGCCTAATGGTTTGGTGTACGGACTACCGATCTTGCGGTCGAGGGTTCGAATCCTGTCATTCGACTATTGTCGTGAACCATATCCTAGCACAAGCCTAGAGCTTAGTTGGAATGGTTAAAGGAAATGTTAGTAAATTAACAAAAATTAGCCTATGTTACTCAGTAATAAAGTAGCTTATTAATGAATAGAATTTTGTAGCTTTTTCTTTCAGGTTTTTTAGTTAAAAATGTGGATTTTCTTTACTTCGATAGCCTGTACTTTTTACTTCTGTACATCTGGGCTTAAAGCTAAATTAGTTTTGAACGACATTTGATTAAAGTTTTTATATTAAAAATATTGCATTGTTGAGTTGGATGTAATTTTAAAGCATCTTTGGTTATATATTATGTATCTCAAAGTACAATTGATGTTATTGATTTTAACTAGATGGCGTTGTTTTTAATTTTCAACCCAAAATACAAAACCAAAATGTTCATGTTAAAATAAAAGCAATATCTGTCTTTCTATACTAATCTATGGTAATATAAAGAAAAAAGATTTGTATTTTTGTATGTATTGAAATAACTCAAAAACTACTGAGCCGATTTTTAAAATTCTTTCACCATTTAAAAGGTAATTTATCTGTGAGTAACATAAGGTAATATTTTTTTAAATACCAAGACGACGAGGTCGCGAGCAATAGTTAAAAAAGGAGAATCATAAGGCCAAAGGGAAAGAACGTACTTAATATAGTAATAAAACAAACATATTAGTTAGTATGGTTTATCTTTATATTGTGTACTACCAGAACTGAGCTGAATTGTTATGAAAGAACCGCTTTGTCGGAGCACATTTCCTGATTCCCCGTTGATGATGTTTTGACAACGGGGCCCTTTGCACTGAAACAGTTAACGTCACAAATTAATAATCATACTAATATTATAAATGCGAAAGTTCAGATGGATGGATGTTAGAGTTTGTAGCCTAAGCAGCTGGACGGATTTCGATGAAAGTAGTGGATGGTCTGGACGAACACATAGGCTAGTCACTTTTGTTTTTTTTAATTCCACGCGGACGGAGTCTCAGACGAAAGCTAGTAATTAATACAGGGAATCAACCTAGTAAAGGAGCCAAGGATATAAATTTAAACAAAATACAGAGATAAAAATTAAAAGTAAAAAAAAAATCGTAAAATGTATTTGTAAAAGTATATGTGAACTGTAATATTGTTTTGTATAAAAAAATAAAATAACAGCAGTCAAGAATTATATAAAAATTGCTCTAAAGATCCGACAATCGAAGTCCGACGTTTGTGGCACTAAATGAAGGAAAACTTTATGCCGTAAAGACAAGAAAATATAGGAATTTGTTTAACTGGACCAGATAAGGATGACGTCATTGTTAAAAACGCGCACACTTTTGACTAAACTATCGCACAACTGTTTACTCTTGGATTGATTCCGATGAACTTATATGGAGGTGTGCACAATACTAGATCTTTAGTTGTGCAAATA